AACCCCATGGAAAAGGGACTATATAAAAGAAGACTATGGGGATGGGGAAGGTCACTTCATGATCAGCTGAAGCTGAAGCATTAAAAAACCAAAAAGTAATGTTTTGTTGACATTTTGATCAATGTAAATGTTTCTTTTAATACAAAACAAACAGTGTTTGTTTTATTCCCATGTTACTTGGCCATTTTAATTCAGTATTTTTAGATAAAAATAGTTTCAAAACAAGAAACAATAACTTAATTATGAAAATATTGAAACAAATGCTTCAGCTTAACATCTGGAAGTTTAAGTGCTTTCACCTACCTTTTTATGGTATGATTTCATTTTTTTTCAGCTGAAAATATTCACTAAAGCTCAACACGTATTTTTTAGCAACTCGCTCCCCTCAAACTCTGCTTTCTGTTCATTTAATCCAGAAAACATTCCCTCAGATGGACCTGCAGCACCTCATTCCATTTCACTGGGACATGAATGCCACCATCAGGAATTGTACTTATCAAAAGGATGAAAAAACAGCATTTTCCTGAGACCTGGGAGACACTAACTTGGGAAGTTATTTTTGGCAGATTATATAGCTTTTTTTTTTTTTCTCTGGGAAGATGTAACAGCATCCACAATACTTACTTTTATAATGTCCTGGATGGAATTCAGAACAATGGCAGCAAAATGCTTGGGAACAACTTGTACATCCTAAGGCACATACGTAAGTATGTGTAAGAGTGAGAACAGGCTTTCATTAGGCTTGGCATCAACATAATACATCAGACAGCTGTTCATGTTGAGCTAAACGGGCTGTAGTCAATTCCCAGTAAGGACAAATGAAAGTCTTATAAACCATAATAAAACAGGGACCACTCAATTTTCAGATATGTGCATCAGGCAGCTATTTCACTGGGTAACACTTTTCATTCTTCACAGCACGAAAGTGGCCCAACAGTCCCCCTTCATCCCCAAAACCAAAAGGCTATTTGTGGAGAGCAGCTTCCTGCTGCCCGTACCAAGCCAGTGTGGGCAGCAAGGCCCTTCATTCACCCAGGATGCCCTGTGGACCAGCCACCCAACCTCTGTGCTGGCAGCGGGCAGCAACCTCTGGCAGAGCTGCTGCGTGGGATGCCTGTGAGCACAGAGCTTCCCATGCCTTGTGGCATCACCAGGCTGGCGGTGGACAAGTGTGCTCACTGCCCGTGCTTCACTGCCCCTTCCTGAGGAACCGAGCAGCCCTCCTGCCACCTGCCCAGAAGCATGTGTGACACATCAACAAGATGCACCATCCCCACCCCACCCCCCCCGCCAAAAACAGGCTCCCCATCATGCCGGTGAAAAAACATGTCCTTCAGCCTCCTTGCTGGAGCCTATGTGGTCCATTGTGGCCAAAACATTGCTCGTCCCAAAACTGCAGAATTCTCAATGGGCTGCATTTCATGGGATGGGACTGGACTGTAAATGTAGCTGTAGAAGACTGGTAACAAATAAAGAGCTCATTTATGTTTCAGAAGAGACATTGAGGTCCCTCCCCTCAACCGCTAAATTAATAGGTTTCCATTACATTTTTTTAAAAAATCCACCAAAGCCTGGAAGTGGATGGTCCTAGAGTTAAACCAAAACATTGACTTACTGAGCACTGCCTAGCAAAGCCAATCAACAGCCACTGAGCCATTCTGCAATACGCAAGTATGGAAAGGTAAATTATATTAGGTGCTAGCTGCCATCAGCGACCTGTATCTTACGGTTTCAACTGCATCTCTGCCACACGGTCCTCCTAAAGCAGGTTTTATTGTCAAGCTTTTATATGTGCCATTGTTCAATCAAATAAATCAGCCTTCTGGCACAGTGTGAATGAGATTAGGAAGTACAAGTGACTTATTTCAATTCTCCTAAGAGCAAGGGGCAATAAACACAACCTCAGGAAATGAAAAACTGAACCAAGAGTGAATGTTCCAAAGAAAATGCAAACTTTCACAATACAAGCTCGTTTTCTTTGCACAGGACAAGTCTCAAAGTGGCTGACTTACTGCTAACTAGATTTACTGAAATGCATCAGTCATGTTCTTAATAGCACCATTTCAGCCTTCAAAAGGTGGACATGTCTGGAAGGGTCAGGTTCCGCATGGGGTGATGCAGAGTTGCCTCCTCAGCCCAGTGGCGAGGGAAGGAGAGGGCCATCAGGCAGAGCTGGCTGGGCCAGCCCAGGAGAAGAGGCTTTGGCAAACAGAATTACTGTAAGCAGCAGCTCTCTTTCACAGAACCCAAATAATGGAAAAAGCATCCAGATACTGAAGAGGTAAAGGAAAAACGCAGCAAAAATGTCTGAGAGAAGCAAAATGTGAACTTCCTCACTGATTGACCAGAGACTAATTGTGGAAAGAGGAACAGTTGCGTTCAGGAACAATATTCTGACACTTCCCTACCAGAAGGATGAAAGAGGGGGAGAGAAAGCTTGGGAGAGCACCAAGGGACCCACATCGCTGAATGCAGCAAGAAAAGGAGGGATGCCCTCCAAAGGCCTGCCCTGCAGAGTCAGCTGGAAGGCAACAGCAGGCTCAGGTCACATGCAAACAGACAAATGTCTAAACAGAAGTCAGACAGCTGGAGAAGCAAAGGTGAGCATGAAGATCAGACACCTACTAGCCACCCAAGCAGCAGTTATCTTGCTGCTTCACAGACCTCAGTTTAGTAGTGACTTTTCCACCATGGGCTGCCCTTGGGTCTCCCAGGGAAGGACAGGGACAAGTGAAAAGCCCTGCAGAGCCTGCAGGCATGGGCAGGTTCCACAGCAGGCTGCTCAGCCACGTTCCCACGCAGCTCTCCCATCACTGTTGGAAAGGGCCTCCACGCTGCAGCATCCTCCCACTACCTGTCTCCAAGATGCCACTGGGCTGGCCCGCCAGGGCAATCCAGCTGCTGCCTCTACAGCTTCACGGAGGGCATGTGCTTCTCATTCCAAACAAACACACGCTTTACATATCAGAGGTAAAAGATTTTATTATCCCGTGGTTTTTTCCTAAGAAGTAAGGGTCCTACCAGACAAAATATACAAAGCATCTTATGTTTTCTTTCTAGACAACTGCATTCTCATCCTATGAAACAGTGATCACATTAGTTCACCTTAGAGAACCAAGGTTTGTCCTTACAGCTGCAGGATTGCACAGACAGAGTTAGCATATTCATTGATCAGTTAATTTCATGCAGAATCAGAAGGAAGGGGAAAAAGGTCTTTATGCTCACCTGAGTGCAGGCTTAGGTTCCTAGAAATGAAGAGAAACGCAGGGCTTAAATTTACCAGTTTGTGGCACTTCCATTAACTGAACCAATTCTCTGACCCACTTACTATCCATTCTACAATGAAAGGTTAGGGCTAGCAGCAGGTTATCGCTGGAAAACACAACGCTAGAAAAGCAAATGCCCCTCTGGCAGTGGGAAACCTTCCTTACCAATTCTTCATTTTACATCAAGCTTAAAGCAGAATGAAACCAAAGTGTCCTTTACTACTTGTTAAAACTTAATGTTTATAGTTGACTATGTTTATATAAAAAAAAAATTTCAGCCTCAAAGGACATACTAATTCCTATTGTATAACGTGACCATTTTGAGATCCTGTTCTGTTTTTACATAATTAACTCACAGTATTAAAAGTTTTAGTCTAAAATATATTCACTTTTTTTGGTTCTGCTGAGTTAATGATTGTACTTGCATTTACTTCCTCTTCTAAAACAACAAGCTCATTTCAACAGATGGTGAACAAGTCCAGATTTGCTGGAAACCAATTAACAAGAAAGCACCAAGCTGAAACTCACTGCATTCTTTCAAGCCAAAAAACTGCCTGCATTTCAAGAACCTAATTAGTTTTAACTGTATTTATGGAACAGAGGGAAGAATATTTAATTACTCTGCAATTCTTCTGTCTGATGATCAATAGAAATGCAGTTTCGTTCACAGAATTTCTCTGCAGTATATTGATCAGTTGAATCTTGCCTTGTATCAATATCTGTACCACAATGGTGCCTGCAGACAATGTGATACATGGCTGGACTACAGTAATTACTATCAAAACAGCTTTCACAGAGGAGTTATAGAAGAACACACAGTCAAAAAAAAAAAAAATATCTGCTTCTGCACTTGGCAGTAACTACCAGTTCTGCTGCTGACACCACTTTGTATGTAGGCATGGCACCCCATCTGCACACAGACTGGATCTCAACAACTCAGGAAGACAGACCCATGTGAACATAACTTGTCTTCCCAAGTAAGCAGAGCTGGCCAGGACAAATGCAGGGCTGGTGTAACTACCCGGCTCTACCTGCAGCTATGGGCTATAGATGTGACATCCATGGAGCTTTGGCATCTTGCATCAAAGATTCACCTCTTTATTTACTTGGGCAAAGTGCCAGCAGATCTGCCCAGGATCCACAGCAGCTCCAACTGTGTGTTAGAGAAGAGGCTACACAGCCTTGCACTTCACACTCTGCTTTGTAGCCAGGGAGCAGAAGCATGCTGTGTCATTCGTGTCATTCCCAGCCCACCTCATTGCCCCTTGCCTTGGCCTCCTGCCCATCCTGAACACCCATTGGGATACCCTGCATTGTTCAGTGGGTCACGCTGAGCCACACCGCATTCAGGAAGTGGTGAGTGCTGAGCCCAGGAGCCAGTGACAACAACACATAGTGATTGCTTTCAATGTTTGAAAATCTGGTCTTCAGCGGGACACCACACAGCAAGCTGGGACCACCACAGCTTGCTCTGGGCAGAAACCCTCCCTCTGCTGAGCTTTCCCAATCACCCTGTCTGTAGCCTTACAACTATTCTTTTCCTAAGCGCATCTGGTTATGTATTTCTGGTCATTAAATCAGCACCAAAATGGTAACCCTCCTCTTGTGCATACAGCTTCTGTCCCAGTGCCAAGGCAGCCTCAAAGCACTCTACCAGCCTGGAATCACTCAGGCAGGAAAAGAGCACCTATTTCCAGTACTTGTATTTCTCGGCCATCCCCTCTACACCAAAACTGCTCCCAAAAGAGTTTCCTGTCCTGTGGTGTGGAAGAAGCTGGATCTACTCCCAGGTTGTCTTTGAGCACTGTGTAAATTTAAGCCCAGCAAATGTCTCAGGTAGGTAGCAGGGAGAGAAAAGAATCCACTGTGAGGCCGCAATGGACCCAACAGGTTAGAGCTGCACAAGCAGGGGAGGGAGTACAAAAAGTGAGACAGATTACCATGTCTAAAGAGAGGGCTGAAAGCATGTGTGTGCAAGCAAAGCCAAGGAAGGTTACATCTGGGAAGTGGCTTCATGACTTTTTGCAGATAACAGTTTCGACCACAAAAGTGTTTTCAAAATGACGAATACGATGACAGTTTCCGGCCTCACGTCGACTGATACCTAGAAGTGATTGAAAGAGAGGAGAGGGGAAATTCAACAAATGATAATCTAGAAGAGCTGCAGCAGCTGGGGGAAGGAAAGCAAATGAGATGCAACCACTGAACACTGAAATGCAGGAGCTACACAGCCCATATGAAAAGCAGCATAATCCGGTCTTTGGAAGAACAGCCATGTTCTCTAGGCCATGGTCATGCAGTATGAGCTGCCATGAGCTGGGGGAGCCACCTGGAAACAGCTAGTTTCAGCTGACAGCATCTCAGTGTTGTCTCAGAGACCTGAAAGCCTCATGAAACCAGCAGAAGTCACAGGCTGGTACAGAGCACAGCTCCAAATACAGCCAAGGAGGTCTTAAAATCACCACCCCTCTGGCTGTTCGTATCCCTGCATGCACTGATGCTGCTATGGCCTCAGCCTCCCTGGGAAACAAGTAATGCTTGCCATGCCCTTAAACTGCAGGACCTCAACTCTGGGCAGCTCTGTCAGGCAGGTACTCCCCTCTTAGGCACAGGTGGTGCCCTGCGGACAAACAGGACTGTGCCCAGGGTCCATAAGAGCAGCAGCCAGCATGCCAGCAGCCCTGTGCACAACTGAGCAGCTTCTGCTGTGAAAGCAACCACGAACTGCAGCCACGGTGACTTCTGCACCCAAATGTTCTCAGCACCCTGCAGCTTCCCCATAGATCCAGACCCAAACTGACTATAGGTTCATGTTCAGGTGGGTCTTTAAGTACACCAGTATCTAAAAATTAATAAACACAAATACTGAAATGAAGGAGTTTTTTGCAGCAATATTATCATTTGTATCTAAGCTACATATTGCTGATTTTCGTGAAATCATTTTAAGGTAGTCCAGTGTTCCCTCTTCATAACTTTTTCTGTATTATTAGGAACTTAATTAAAGGCAATTTGCAGATCTAATCTGCTCTGCATAGCTGCCACTGAAGCGGGTGTCTCCACCAGGGAAATTTTCCAAACAGATCTCAACAGCACTGCTATTAGTTCAAACCCAGGAGCCTACATGCAAATGAATTGCTGGCTCCTGCAACCATTTTCTCAATTAGGGTGATAGACAACAGAAATGCAGGAGCTAGCACCCATTTGCAGCATCATCATCCCAGATTTCGGTTTAGACAAATTAGATTGGAAACACTTCAAAAGATGTCCTGTGTGCTTACACCCACAGGAAAACCTCCCCTCTTGCCATGAAGAGGCCAGCATGGCTGTAACAGCAGAAATAATGACTGTGATGCAGGAGGAAAGCGAGTTAGGACAGCTGAACGTGGCAAGGCTCTTACGTCTCCTCGCACTCCTCCGCTTCAGCCTGTAGGTCTCCTTGCCACTGCAAAGGTGGTAGATGAAGGAACCAAGCTGCTCCATGTCACTGATGTGCTCAGTCGCAATCATCTCCTCTTGGATTATGTATGTCTGAGGCAGGTATGTCCCTTTCTGAAATGACAGTTTCCACCAAAATAAAGCACAAACGGTGCCATGATCTCCCCCTTCAATAGAACTGTCTCACACAGAGCACCAAGGACAGCCAAACGGCAGAAAATTCACTGAAGGCTTAAACTCCACTTACTGAGGCTGGTTAACATGCTTTCCTGTCCTTGCAGTAAACTGTCTCATGCTACTAGCACAGGGCACACAAAACAGATTAGATTCAAAAATTGAATGTTCACGTAGGGGATGAAGCCAGTGTAGGATCAACCCCCCTATAAACTAATCACAGTTCAAAAGGAGGGCATGGAATCTGTAACTCTGAGAGCACAACGAACCCATCTGGAGAGGGATTAAGGCTCAACCAAAATGCCAGGAACTCCACTGAAAATGTGCATTTTACATTTACATTACCCAAGAACACCAGCCCTGCTCAGTTTCCAACAGTTTCCAGAGTTTTACACATTTCCCCCTCCTCCTTGGTCCATTCAGCACAGCTATAATAAAGTACAGCTATAATAATCTCCTGCCCTTAGAGCCCACAGAAACAGGGACTAGAGATGGGCCATGGACCCACTTAGAAACACCACCCTGCATGGTAACAGTGGGCACTTGGGGGAAAGCGAGCTCTCAGCACACTTCCATCACCCCAGGGACATCATCCAAGCGACTCAGTGGCAGTGCAGGAAGGCAGCTCACACCAGGGACTGAGCTGAGGCAAAGCAGCACACACGAGCTCCCTGCTGCTGGGGTGGAGGCCGCTATGAAGACCAGAGTGATAAGTGGGGTGTCTGGTGGGGGGACATGGCGGAAAGCCATCAGGGGCTAGAAAAAAAATGAAGAGGGAGAAAATGGGGGACCTGGGAGCACCCCAGGGACAAAGGCTGCCCCTTTCCCTGCAGGAAAGAGACCTTCTCAGCAATGAGGATTCTCTGCAGCTGATCCCCAGATGATCAGGGCATCTCGCAGCTGTCTGGGCACTGCTTCGGCAATAAGCAGTTTGGTCTAGGGGGCTCTTCTGAGCAGACTGGATGCTAACTAGGCCACGAAGCAAAGACTCACTTCTGGCCCCTTTTGCTTAAGAAGAGTCAAAGAATAAAGCAGCATATCCTGGGACCAATATAGACATAATCAGGTGGAAAAGCAACCAGCACAATTTCAAATATCATCTCTTCAGTTTCCTCCACAGGACTGGTTATTTCCATAGAGATGTACCTGGAAACATGCTGTTTTAACTTAGCACCATGCTGTTGGGCTGGCATACTCTACTGGATCGATAAAGCTCTCCTCTAATGCTGGAGGACTAGATTATTAATGGAAATTTGTACTACACTAACACAACAGTTCTGCAAGAAATTCAATTATTGATTCTCAGTGGGAGAGTGCAGGAGAGGGCATGCAATACATGCAGTATTGGCAGGAGCTGTCATGTTCACACCTGGGGCTGGGGCTCAGGATTTGCCATATCCTTGACACGGTGACAGAGCTTAAAGACACACATGCACACATCCAGTTTCTTCATTGTTTTATATTTAAATAGCTGTGGCAGCTGAAATAGTCAGGAATCATTGCTCTTCCACTGCAGGACTGTGCAATGAGCACGATACCTTCAATTCTCCACCAAAAGCTTTAAGAAAACTAGAGCACTGAGTGTCTCGGGTTTTGCAAAAGCTGTGGATCATCCACCATTTAACTGGGTCATCTCCAACTTCCTGCTGCTGCACAGGTGGAGCATCCCTCCATCCTCTTCTCTCAGATACTTATGCAGCCCTGTTCACTAAACTGTTACACCTAAACAGAATAAAGTCTGCAAGAAGTAGCAAAGCTGCCATTTACAGGTGAAAAATCAGACTCAAGAGGCCTGCTAACACAAATGTGGTGACAGCAGGGCCAAGACCTGAGCCAGGTCTGGGA